CAGTGGGCTTTGAACTAGTTGCCTGGTGTATTTGTGAAAGAGTGTTGGCAGACTGGTGGTCTGTTATTGCTTCTAGCAACTGGCTGGCCCTGGGAGGAGCTGTGTGTCCAGGGTCAGCAACATGTTAGATGTCAGACCATCAGAAATGCAGATGTTGAAAGGCATGATTAATATAGAGCCCTCTGCAGGAGGCCGCTGGGGAAGGCTGCAGGGAGGACCCAGGGCGAGCACCAGCTTTCCTCATGCAGCAGAACGAGGACCCAAGCCATATAACACACAAGAGAAGAGGTTCCTTAGAGGTCCATGGCTCCCCCTTGGTCCTGGCTGTGCGACCCGGGTGCCCAGAGGGGGCATTTCCTGCCTTCCTGGGTCACTGCCAGCAGGAAGTGGGCAGCACACAGGTGGCTGGTTGATTGCCCCAGTGCTGCTGTCCTGGCCTGGGTGGGGGCAGACGAGATGGGTCAGTGTGGCATTTGCTCCCTGTGCCCACTGCCCTTCTGGGCCCTTTGGCCAAAGAGACTAGACATTCTTTTTTTTTTTTTTTTTGGTTTTTCTCTGGTACCAGGAACCGAACTCACGACCTTGCGCTTGCCAGGCAGGCGCTTTTGCCACTGAGCTAAATCCCCAGCCCCTGAGACTAGACATTCTTATGTGCCTGTCTCTATGCTCTGCCAATATGTCCTGCTGAGAAAGCAGCTACCATGGCCTGTGACCCGAGGCAATGCCGCCTGTCCTGCTTTTCACCCGGAAAGCTCTACAGGAGCACCGTGTGTGTCTGTTTTGTGTACTGCTCTGCAAGAAGGAGCTTCTTACTCAGGGTCCATTAGTATCACACTGTCAAACTACAAGGACACTGAAGGAAAGATAGCTGTGTTATAGCAATATGTGTGGAAGCTTCCTCCAATTAAAAGGAACCAGTGAATACATAGCTCCAGGGAAAAGTCTGAACCAGCCTTGTCTACCCTGGACTATAAGGCTGCTGTCAGAAAAAAAGGGCTGGAGCTCTGTCAAAGTGTGCAATACCTCTGGAGATAAGTGTGTAAGAATACTCACCAGGCTCTGCATTGGTTAGCAGATTATTCGGAATGAAAATATGCTCTTTGGAAAAGGAGTGGTATGTATCCACCTATCTCTGAGTAGCAATATACGAACACAGACCTCCCTTAGCAAGCTTGTAGGACTAGCTCCAGGACCCCCTTTGATACCAAAGGCTGTAGGTGCTCAAGTTCCGTAAATAAAGTGGCATAGAACTAGCTTACAATCTCCACAAACCCTCCCATGTACTTCAGGTCATTTGTAGATGATGTGTAATGTCTAACATGATGTACACACTATGTAAATAATGATTATTCCCTGTTGTTGAGAGAATAATGACAAGTAAACACTATGTACAGGTTCACTGCAGATAAAGTTGACTTCCCTCAAATATTCTCCACCTGCAGACTGTTGAATTCATGGATGCTAAAACACTGATAGTGCTGAAAATGTGTCTAGATAAATAGACATAAATTGTGCCATAAAAGTATTTTATTCAGATTTTTAAAAATGTATTTATTCAACTGTTTTAATTAGATAATAGAAATGTATATTACCATACTGGGCATCAAAGTCTGTTTGCTTTTATACCTTTAGTGTTGGTATCTTGAGCCTACTTCAGCAGAATATTTCCCCCATTTTAATTGTTTTGGTTTATAAGTATGTGAATTTGTATAAAGAATAAGGCAGTGAAGCTAAGTCACAAGGAGAAGAAAGCAATGAGAATTTTGAACTATGAATTTCCAATAGTTTTTCCAAGTTCCCGTTGCAGATATCCAGGCTTTAGATGCTCAAATCCCTTTTATAAAATGACTTAGTGTTTACGTGCAGCACATCTTAAGTCAACTCTAGATTACTTCATAGTTGTTAATACGATGTAAACGCAGTGTGAATAGATGTTATACTGAATTGTCTGGAGAACAAAGACGAGAAAAAGATGTTTAGTACAGAAGAAGTTTTTTCTAAATATTTTTCATCTGAGGTTGGTGAGTCCAAGGATACAGAGCTTCAGATACCAAGGGCCGACTGAAGCTCTGCAATGCAAGCCATGTGTAACTTGCATGCAAGCCATGCAAGCCATGTGTAACATAAATGGGCGGCAGAAACACTTGGGGTTATGTTGTAGGGCTACAGTGACTCATCCATAGATATTTGTACATTGCCTGTGTCTTTTACAATAATACAGTTCCTGAAAACTGAGTCATCTCAGCACGTGAAGCTTTCTGATTCTTTTGTCCTAAGCTTTGGGTGTTAACTCCTGTTTTTGTGTAGTGTTTCAAGGCAGTCCCAGGGTTTTGTTTGGGAGGACCTGCCTGCGCTTGGCCTCTGCTCCCAGTGAGTTGGGAATGACAGCTTCATATTTTGAGCTCTTGTAGGTTGGTAAGAACCAAGCGGGGGACAAGACTTTATTTAGAAATGTGCTTGTAATTCATCTTCCACTATTCATGTGGTTTTGTTGCTGTTGTTACTAGGATCCCTTGGCTTCCTGTGTCTTAATTATTCTTTTCAAGGATATGGAGGAATGGTCATTGGGCTGTGGAAGTGTATTACTACTTGGGCCTCACATTTCATTTCCTGCCCCCTCTTTTGCTGTCCCCCAAAGCCTCATGTGTTCAGAGTGTGGCCATGTGAGAGGTGGTGCGGCCTGGTGGTGGTGCCTACAAGCCGCCCCCCTGCCCCCGTCTCTCCATGGACTCTTCCTGTCCCACATGCTTGTGCGATTGTGATGTCTCATCCACCTTGAGGGCTCCCCAGAGCTGAGTCAAGGCTAGCACTATGTCCTGAACCCCAAGGACTGTGTGCTAACAAATAAACTCTTTTCTTTGGAAGTGTGCAGCCTCAGTATTTCATTACACATCCTACCAAAGGAGCGGATGTTCTGATAGATGTGGAGTGGAAAGTTTGGGACTATCAGTTCTGCTTCTAGCAAGATACTGAACTCTTCCCCTTGACCTTCAGAAAAGTGGTATGGAATGAGCAGCCTCCGGGGAAAGGCCGCGTGGGCGCTGGGGTGTCAGCTCCTTCACCCCGTGTTGCTGCCCTTTCCATGTGCACTCTGACTGCGGCTCCTCTCATCTGAGCTCAGCCTGCTCGTCTTCACCGCCTGCAGACCGGGCTCCACACCCTTGCTGCCTTCACCTGCCTCCCTCGACATCTTCACCAGCGCGTGGGCCCAGCATTGGCCCCTCCCCACCTTGCTGCCCCCAGGCCCTCGGTGTCACCCCCATACCCTGCTTCAGCCCGGTGTCTTCACAAGTGCCCTTGTGCAGGGTGCCTGTCACCTGTCACTGTACGGGTGTTATCTCTGTGGGCGCAGTTTGTGACTGCCTGGTTTCCTGGCTAGGTGTGTGCTTTTCTTAAAGATACTGAATGATCAGCCAGGGCACCCCAGACTGGGGGCTTAAACAACAAAAACACAAGGCTTCACAGTTCTGGAGCTGGAGTCTAAGCTCCAGTGTCTGTGGCTGCTTCCTCCTGAGTCCTCTCCATCGCTCACAGATGGCCATCTTCTCTGTGTCCAGAGTGGTCAGCCCTCTGAAGTGTGTTGGCATCCTAACCACCTTCTCTTAAAGGATATATGACCATATTTCACCATAGTTACCCTTTTAAAGCCTTGGTTCCAAATTCTAATCCTATTCTGTGGTGCTGGAGATTGGGCCTTTGGAGGAATTTGGGGTCCGGTCCAGCCCATTACATATGTCGCCTAAAAGACAGGGAAGCGAAGCTCAGGTTGTCTGCTTGAAAAACTGGACCCTGGTCCATGTTGGGAAATTGAGCAGAGCTTTGTGACTCCTTCCTGTCATCCCCATCCACAGCACCTTTGAGAGGGCCCTGGCAGCCTCAGATGGAGGGGCTACCCTCCTCCCTGTGCATGACAGTGGGGACAGGGGCGTGGGTCTCAGTCTGTCTGTATCCCCTCTGACTTCCTCCTCACAGCTAAATGAAGTTCAGCCAAGGCGCATCCTCCTCAGGGCCGTGCTCCTTTGTGTGTGCGATCTCTGTGGTGAACAGTACAGGTAGCGGATTCCCTGGCTGACTTGGGTTCCCTTCCTGAATGTCCCTGAGCTGGGATCTTTTGATTGGATTGGTGTGAGCCCCCTGTTCAGTGAAATCTGATGATACAGACTGGGTTCCCCACAGTGCATCCAGCACCCTTAATTCTTGAGTGCAGAGCTTCTACCAGGGGTGCCTGGGCAGGTGCCCTGTCTGATTCTGCTGTTTGAGGTTGACTTTTGATGTCACCTGTATGGCTTCACAACCAGCCAGCTCTGGGCCAGGTAGGCTGGGAAGGACAGGGCAGAGTACAGGGATGGAAGTGCTGCACACCCCTTGCCCCGTGTCAGTGTGCAGAACTGGGGTGCTGGCTTGCTGGTAGGTTTGGGCCCCTTCTTGTAGACCTAAGTGGTCCTGTATTATAGGAGGTAATTCCCGGGAAAACATCTGCTGGAGCACAAGGCCAAACCACACCTGTCAGTCCCGCAGGCCCTTCAGGCTTAAAACTGGATTCTAAGAAGGCGTTTGCTGATGGCTTCTCATGTTTGTGGTGTAAATCCTTGTGCATCATTACTTTAGACCTTACCTGGTGTTCATGTGAAAAAATAGCATAGCTGTGAAAACTCTTCCCAAAGCAGCCAAAAATGGTACCAAAATCCTCCTAAACTTCAGGAAACTGAACACCATTCCAGATTCTGTTACCACGTCGGACTCAGGTGCAGTGTCTCTGCCAAGTTGGGGGTGTAGGGAGATGTCAAGGGATCCCCCTGGGGTTGTCTTCCCTTGTGCTCTTGTGAAGAGCTGGGGCCAACTATGTCCTGGTGACTGTCACCAAGGCTGGTAGCACAGCCAGGCTGGCCTCTATACCTAGTCAGCAAGCTGCTTTTTGTGCATGTCACAAAATCAGTTTTGCTGGATTGCTCATGTCATGTGTGAGCTGCCCTCATCACTTCTCTCAGCAATGTCAGCAGTCAAGAGTGTGTCCCACACAGGGCATAGTAATGTGGCTCCTGTTCACGGGGCCTTGCCAACACTTGTGGGCAGAGCAGAAGCTCCTGGCCCACCCCAAGCCAGCAGACACCTTTGCAGTCAAGTAGTAGGGTAGCAGGACGCCCACACAGTCTTTGTCCATACTTCCTGCCCACTATTTTTCAAATGTTTCTGTCCTTGGTGGCTTAAGTCTGAAGATACAGTGCCTGCAGATACAGAGATGGAGGGCCAGCTGTGTTTCAAGAAGAAGGCAAAGTAACAAGGTAGGAAAAAATGCCTATACACTGATGCTCTGTTATTCTTAATAGGCCCCTCCATCAGGGCATAATGACAGGCTGGGGAGCAGCCTGAGAGCACCCTGCACCATGGACTGGCTCATGAGCAAAATGATAGGCTGTATAACGACCTCCCACGGAGCCAGCGAGCTGCCTATTTTGTTTGCAGGGAGTACTGACATGCAAGCATACTTGGTGAGCCAAGAAAGAGAAAAGATACTGTAGGGAACTAGAAAGAAGCAAACCATACGACTCCCATTGTGGGGGCAAGAAAGATGTGAGATTCTTAGGAGGGGGAGAACCTTTCTGTCCTAGGGCATGCTCATTGTCTAAGGGACAGATCCCTGGAACCCAGTGGACGTTACAGTATTGTGAGTCTTCAAATCATTGTGATTTCTCTAGAAGCATCTCAGTGGGAGCAGTTAAGTCTCAGATCCTAGGTGTTTACGGGTAGAATGTCCTCAAGATGTGGTCCCTTGACCAGCAGCCCTAGGGACCCTGGAACTTACTGGAAATACACATTTGTGAGTTGCACCCTAGGCCTCCTGAGGAGCAGCTGCTTGGAGGGGCAGGGGCTGTCTATCTCAGTGGCTCCAGGTGGCTCAGATGCCCTGGACAGAGGAGATGGGTGGTAGAGCCTGGGATCTCTTTCAGCAGCTCCACCTGGCTGCTCCCCAGATCTCCCAAGAGCTTGGCAGGTGTGGTGCCAGGGTCTCAGGAGCCTCAAGTTAATTACTAGGTCTAGGTGCAGCCAGAGCAGGAGATTTAGGAGAAGCCCAAAGATGGTGTCATGTGTGAGCCTGGGTGTGTTGGGGTCTTTAGTTCTGGGGCCCAGCAGTTGGGCTTCCTGGATGCTTCTTCTGTGATATGGGGAAGGAGAAATGTGACTGACCCATTAGGGAGGCATTTGGATGTCCTGAAAAACTGTTCATATACAAATCTGCTTTCTGTGTCATTTCAGGGAAGAAAATGTGACATTTTACATTTGCTAACGTAGTATCCATCCAGCCCTGGCTGTGGTTCCATGCCAACCATAGGTCACAAATATTTGGCAAAAAGTTGTGTCTGTAGTGAACATGTGCATATACATTGTGTCCTTATCATCCCCAAAACAACCATTTGCACAGTGCTGACACTGTATTAAGTATTAGCAGTCACTGGGAGATGACTCGAAATATGTCCTGCCAGCTCACCTCCGTGCACCGGCCTGCAGTATTTGGGTTTCTGTGAAAGGTCCGTCTTTTGGAGGGGGGCCAGCCACCAATGCCCAGAGCAGTCTCTGTCCCTGAAGGACTCAGGGTCAAAGAGGCCGTAATCAAATTCCTCCTCTGCCTCCTCATAGTTTAGCAGCTGAGCCCAGCCCTGCAGGCCCAGGTGGTCTCCTCATGTATAGAGCAGAGATTTGGTTCATTTCTTTGAGAGTCCCCTAAATATTCTGGACCTATTTTTGCACAGTTCTCACCCCAGGTTTGGTTCTTTCACTAGTCTATAAGTCTCTTTGCTTTTTTTCCTCCTTCATTATTAAAGACTGAATCCAAGGCTTTTGCACTGAGCTATACCCCTAGGGGCCCCCTCTTTTTTTGAGACAGAGTCTGTGTTTCCCAGGCTGGCCTTGGATTTGTCACCCTCCTGCCTCAGCCTCCCAGAGTGCTGGGATTATAGGTGTATACCAGCAACGCTGGCCTGTTTTTACTTTTTTAAAAAAGCTACTCCCATGCTGGGCAGTCAGATAGGTGTAGTAGACAAAAGACTTCGCAGTTGATCCAAGAAAACTGAAAGTTTCAGGTTTATTTTGTAGAGAATTACTTCTAAGCTATGACGCTAGCCTAATGGTTTTTTTTGTTACACATTCTGTGGGTAATTTTGTAACATCTGAATGATGACAGCATCTTTTGTGCAGAAGCACCTGCCCCTGAGGATCTGAGGCCTGCCTTCTCTGCTGATTCCGTGGTGCTGTTAGTTGTCAAAGGCCTGGAAAAGCCTCTACCTTGCCTAAGGGATTGCGTAGATTCGGCTACACTGCTTACTTCCTCTGTGCCTCAGTTTATTCATCTGAAAGATGGGTATAATAACAACTATAAATAACATCCTCTTAAGTTCATTGGACAGAATAAAGAACATAATAAAGTATGAGTTCTTAGCATGTCCCCTACAAATATAAGTATTCAGCAAAAGAGTGTCTTGATGCTTGTTGATGGAGTTGGAGATACCCTTGCATGATCTAACAAGATCCATCAATTGAAAAAGCAGACTACCACGGAAAATCATTAAGTTCAGTGTTTCACCCATTTTGTTTTTGTGTTACATTTTCCTTCCTAAAGCATCCATCTTAGTTTTTCATAGAAATAACTTTCATCTTGTGATCCCTCATGAGACATCAGGTATCTACATAAAATAATTACAGTAACAGATACAAGTAGCATAGACAGGCTGGAGCGCCGCTGACTCTGGGTAAGCGTAGGTCCAGGCTGCATGAAAGCTGTCATCTGGCAAATCAGCTTGGAGTTGTTCACCATATTATCAGAGTTTACCATTGATTTTCCCAGTAGGGCCAGAATGGATTTGTTGTTTTCCTTTCTCCAAGCCACAGGCAGATTCTGCTATGGCCTGAATGTCTGTGTATTATTAAGATTCCTATGTTGCAGTTCTAAACTTTGATGTGAGCATCTTAGCAGGTGAGGATTCTGGGAGGTGATGGTGTCATGAGGGTGAGCCCTGGAAAGTGGGATTGACTGGCATCTAGAGAGGCCTCCCTTGTGCCCCTTGAGGACCAGTGAGAACGAAGAAGTCTTTGAACCAGGATGTGGACCCTCACCAGACACCGAGTCCGACACGCCTCGTCTCAGACCTCTGGGCTCTGCACTGTATGCAGTTGAGTCTCTGTCGGTTATAAACTGCTCACTCAGTGCTCACATGTTGTGGACCATTTCTATACTGAAAAAGCATTTGTGTAGTTAACAAAATGTTGTGGGGAGCACAAGCTCTGGCTGGGTTCATAAAGCTGTACTTTTCTCAGTTCCACCCCTGGAAGGTAGTCTGCACCGTGGCCCCACGGGGAGGGCAGTGTTGACAGTGGTTTGTGATCCCACTGAAGGTTTGCACAGACTGACATCCACCACCTCATGCCTTCTTTTTCCGTTCAGCTTTCAGCGTTGGCTTGGGTATTTCCTGCCGAGAAAAGCCCTGCACATGTGTGCTTGTCTCTGTGTGCACTTCTTTGTGTACCTGGAGGGTATGTGCTATGTGCATATGTGTGCACATTTGCATGTGCAGGGGTTCACCTGTGCACATGTGCCTGTTTGCATGTGTGTGTGCTCAGCACTGGCACATGCATGCACATATGTTGATCTCCTGTGAAGACTTGGACTCTGTTTCCCTTCTGCTGCTTCTGCCTGTGCCTGCCTTTTAGACATCCAGTTTCCTTTCCAAGATCTTGTGTCTCTTTAGCCAAGCTTCTCTTGGCGTCACACTAGGAGTGTGGCATGGAGAATATTATTTGGGGGCAGGAGCAGGGAGAGAGAAGGCTACATCGGATTGAAGGAGAGGGCAGAGCACGTGCTTTGCTGAGAACAGCTCCAGCCAGGTCACACCGCCATAGGCTGTTTCTTTGGTCCTTTCCTGTCAGCCTGGGCTGTGGGGTTGGGGTAGATGCCAAGCCAGGGTCCCCCAGGTTATTCTTACCTGCCGCTTACTCAAGGTATTGTGTAAGTGGTTAGAACAAGTGGCCAGTGACTGTCCTTGGTGGGGCCGGGGTGGCCAGAGATTGGTACCACTGGGCAGAGGGCTGTTTGTGACATGTGTACAGTGGTCACAGAGGCACGGAGAGGAATGTCAGGGGTCCTTCTGCTCACAGGACTCAAGGACAACGTGTGTTCAGAAGACCAGAAGCTCTGTAACTCCAGGTGTAGTAATTAAATATCTTTTGAGACCTGGCGTTCTTCATGAGAGGAAGCAAGCTCACACTATTCTTAGGGAGCATCTTGGTTTTAGCTTTTAAATCACAAAGGAAAGGAAAGGAAAGTTTTTTTGGAGGGGAAATAAAAGTGTCGGGCAGCCGCCTACAATCCCAGCACTCAGGAGGCTGAGGCAGGAGGATTGTTGCAAGTTCGAGACCAGCCTGGGCTACAAAGTGAGCTCAAGGCCAGCCTGAACTGCATCTGCATAGTGAGACCTTGCCTCCAAAAGAACAACAACAACAAAAAAAAGTGGCAGAGGAAGACCGAAACAAGGTTTTACATGATGCAGTTCATCCCAAACTCAGCTGACAGGAATGTTGCAGTCAGTTTTCATTCATATTTCCGTCTCCAGAGCTCAGATCTCTGAGCCTACTGTTAATCACTGCTGCCCTTTCATCTCTGAAGATCTCCTGCTTGGTGAATTCCAGAACCAGGGCTAGCCTGGTGACTGAGATACACCTCCCCACCCCAGCCAATCCTGAGTCCAAGGCAGACAGTTCTGTCCCCTCCTCCCCGGTGTGAACACAGCCCCTGTGCCAGGCCCTCATCCCTGCTGGCATCTGTGCATCCTACAGGCTGCCTAGGGCAGTGCTGAGCCTAGGCCTGTCAGGCCTCTGGCTAGGCACCTCCCTGTGGCCTGAGCTCCCTGAGAGGCTGCTGAGTGAAGCCCCCACCCGGGAAATTTAGTCAACTAGGCCGCTTAGGCCCAGGCACGAGCTCTGAAAATGATACGGTTTCTAGGTATTAGTGATATGTTTACTGGCTGGAACCTGCAGAGTTGTGGAAATAAAGGAAGGAGGAAAAGTAACAGTGCTAATTCCATTCATGATCTGTGAACCTCCTTCCCAACTCTGTTTCCTTCCTCTTTGCTGAGCTGCATAGTTGAAGTTGTCTCTGTTGAAGTGGCCTTTGCAGAGAAGGTGTTGTCTCTCAATCCTCTGAACAGAATTCCTTTGCCTGCGGTTGAGACTGGGCAGGGCCCACAAACCCAGATGCCCTGGGGCCCTGTTGGGTAATACAAATGGGCAAATTGGGCCACGTGCATGTTCCACCTAAAGCTGCCCCATTTGGGAAGGTTTATTTATGACCACCTTCATCACCAACCAGAGGGTCTGGTAACCTCACTCACCCACCCAGGAAGAGACACACCAGGGGTTGGCCCTGCCGCCTGGAACCTAAGACCTGAAGGTCATGGTGGTCTGCAGGAAACTGCAGGGGGCCTCTCAGGCGGGGTGAGGAGTCAGAATCCCAGGCCCAGCCTGCAGGGTCAGAACTCAGCCAAAATCTTTGGGGCATTGGATGCTCTCTAAAGTGGAAAGAGCTGGTTTAAAGGGATTGCCATAGTGTAGATGCTGGAGCTCCCACACAAGGGGAACTTGGGTTCACAAAAAGCCTGTGCATTAGTGTCCTGAGCAGTATTCATAGATGTCCCAGTGGAACAGAAACAGATCCCAGGAAACAGCCCTGATTCCTTCAGAGGAGGTGTGGACAGAGGAACCAAGGTCCGTTCATACCAAAAGAATGGAATTCTGCATGAAAGGGGCAAAAATCACTTCTGCAGAGCCCAAGGGAGATGGCTCCCAAAGGCCTGATATTGAGTGGAGGTGGGCAGTTCCCAGAAGGAACCTATTGTGTGACGTGATTCTCAGAAAGACAAATGATGAGCTAGAAAGCGGGAGAGAGAAAGGGAGAGAGGGAGAGAGAAGGAGAAGAGGAAGGAAAGAAACTCACTGCAGAGGGAGAACACAAGAGGATTTTAGAGGTGGTGAAACTGTTCTGTGTATTGATTGTGGTTGTGGAACCCAAATCTATACATATGTTAAAGTTCGTAGAGCTGTATACCAAAAGACAAAGCCACAGTAAAGGAAAACAGAAAACAAACTCCACAACCCAGCACTTCAGTGTATAACCATGTATCTGTATCATTTCACATGAGTTCATTTTAGATATCCATGTATACATCTGTATATTTCATAGTAGTTCACATGTGAGTCTATTCTATGGGATAAAATTCCTGGAGCTGTGGGTACATACATTTGTGTGAGCGACCTTGGCCAGTGAACTCTGTGGCATTTGCTATATTCCCAGCATAGTGTTGGGCAACCTGTGCCCACCCCGCCTCAGCCTGACCACACATCCTGTGACCTGGCCCCGTGACCTCTGCCATCTAAGGGAGGAAGTGGCCACAGTTGTCATTGTCAGGTAAGATCTCGTTGGAGGTGGGCTCCCAGGGCAGCCACACCCCGGTGGACCCTTGTCTGTTGCAAGGGATTTCAGGGCAAAGGTTCAGGCCCGTGAGGTCTTTCTGGTCCTTGAGAGCACTTGGCATTGGGGATGCATCTGTGGGTCAGCCCCAGAGCCACGCCTTTCTTCAGGCCTTGCAATGGGCTGTTCTAGAGATTTGGATGGATCACCGGGCCCTTTTTCTTGATGGAGCCCAGCCTTCCCGCGTCACTTCCCACACACTGCCACCTTTGGGTCCTAGGTGCGCCCTGCCCCACCGCTCTGGGAAGTTGGTTCTGTTTTCCAGCAGGGATGCCACCTTCTCTCACTGCAGGGCAGTAGATGTGTCTTGTCCCAGTCTTCACACAGGAGAGTTTATCTACTCACATTGTCCTTTGTTACGTTTTCCTCTCAGGTGACCACCACAGAGACTCTCAGAATCTTCCCTTTCTACTCCTGCATTTGAGCACCAAGCCTCGGGAACAGGTTAGCACAGAAAGAAGCAAGGAGTCTTGGAAGGATGACTGACCACCTTGCAGGCCGTGTCGTTCACCTGCCCTGCACCCTTGACCTCCAGCTGCTTGGTGCCCAAAGCTTGTAGTTTGTCCTCCTAAGGTCGTGGCATAGTCCGTGGACCTGTCCTGTCCTGTCCGAGATCGCAGCTTCTTGTGTGTGGGGGCACAGTTCCTTCTCTGTCCCTGAGGTTTCTGGCTAAGCCTAAGAATTAAACAGACCCAAGACAGATGCACAGGAGAAAGGCATACACATTTTACTTAGTTAAATTTATACAGACACAGAAGTCTTTATAAGAAAAATTTGGACTTGGAAAAGCAGTTAAAACTGAACACTCTAGGTTGAACAAAGTGCAATAAATTGTGACAATGTGTAAGACAGAGAGATCTGGGCTGGGTGCCTTGTTAATCACGGAGAAGTGACTGAACTCCTCCTGGGGACCTGGCGTGTGGCTGAGTAGCATAGCGCTCACCCGGCTTGTGCCAGGCCCCGGGTTCCATCCCCAGCACTATAAAGAAAAACCTGAAAAATACTAAACCCTTCCAGGCTTGGAACTCTTTACACATAAAAGGAATGGTGGGCGCAGAGAAGGCCAGCGTCCACTACTGCACACCAGCCTCTGCAGGGGCCTCACACACAGAATGAAGGTGCCCAGGAGGCCCTGGTACCCTGCCTGGGCCTGGTACCCCTGTTTCTGCAAGACTTCACCCTCAGCATCAAAAGTTTCCAGGCCCCTCTCCCCATCAACTTTTATGCAGTGCTAGACTTGGCATCCTTCTTGGTAAATATTTTAAATAGGGCTGCAGCCCATTAAGCTTCCTCGCTGTCTTCAGGCCAGGGTGTGTGGAGGAGCAGCATGTATGCATATATAATAAGTCTGTGGAAACATGGCTGTGAACTTTACTGTGCTGCATGACTAGCATTAAGCCAGCTGGGGAAGGGCCTGGGGCTGGGAATCTGTGCGTTTGCTCAGGGTGCCCTTGCTGTGAGTCTCTGGTCCCTCTGCGTCACCTCCCCACTCCTTGCTGTTCCAGGCCCAGTTCCTCTCCAGCTGCCTTACACTGTGGTCTACATTTTCATTGTACTTAGCTGAGCAACTCTCAAAGGAGAGGCTGTGAAGAAACCCTCCCCCTCCTGGTTGTAGACCTTCTGATTCCTTGTAGTCCATATTTGTGGGTATCTCAAGTCCCTCTCCAGCCGGGGACAGCATTGTTAACCACCTTTGAGCGAGAGCAGGGCTGGCTGCAGGCCCCTCAGTGTGTGAAGAGGTTGTGTCCTGATAAATGCATCTAAGTTGAAAATATTGTTAGTCAGAAGTGCACTGAATATAGTCACCTCACAGAACATCGCAGCTCAGCAGGCCGTGCACTGTAGAGTGCTGGCTGTTTACCCTGCATTTGTGGGCTGATCAAGAGCTGTGGTTTACTGTCCCTGCCTAGCACCATGAGAAAGGATTACATATCAGGACCCAGAAGATTCAACCCAAAATTCAAAGTGTGACTTCTTCAAGATTGAGATGGCTTTGGTGCCATAATAAAGTGGAAAGTTGAGCCGTCATCAAGGCAAGGACTGTCTGTGTGCTAATGATGTAGCAGGGATGCGGTGTTGTTGTTTCCTAAGAAGCCAGAGCCCTGTGAGGAACCTACACAGGGCTTGGCACGAGGCTCAGTGGTACAGCACTGCCCTAGCATCATAAGGCTCTGAATATGATTCCCAGTGTCGGGGCGGGGAGGTCCAACACTCCTGAAAAGGAAGCCCCTGCCCAGTGTATCCATCCTTCTCCTTCTCAGCCAGTCCTGCTGTTTCACAGCCCCAAGTTACACACCCCCAGCTGGATGTCAGATGTCCGCAAACCTGCAGGTCTTTGAAGAAGGAGCTGTGACCCCTGCTGAAGAAAAGAGTGTTGTCCCAGAGTGTTGCTAGTGTTAGAGGCATATTGCAAATGAGTTGTTAGAGGAAAATATGCGGAAAGAGTGGACAGGTGGAGAGTGCAATAAAGGCACACTGATGTTTAAGAATAGATGCACTGATGTTTAAGGAACGTGACGCACAATTGAAGAAGTTGTCACTTCCCTGTGCTCATTTTGCATTTAGGGAGACTGAGTTGCTGAGATTCTTCCCCCTCCTTCTCTTCCTTTCTTCCCCTGCTTTAAAGTTAAAGTGCAGAGGAGGCGGAATGTGACCATCAGTAAAGGCTGAGCTTGTGCCACATGCCAGAGCCTCTGGGTGCTCAGCTGCTGTCTGTGAGCAGGAGGAATGGAACCAGGAGTTGATGGCTGGATCCAGTTATAACTAAATCACAGTTCAACTCTGAGATTTGTCCACTCTCAAATGAGAGCATGTGGAAGACACCCAAGGTAGCCTGAAGCAGCCTCAGACCGTCCATGTGCTGTGCCGTAGGTGCTCTTCCTGTCTGATCATCCAGAATATCCAGAACGCACTGCCACATGCACCCCTTCAGGTGCAAAGTCCCATGGGAACTGCTGGAGCAGAGGAGGTGCCCTTGGGGTGGGGAGAATGAGCAGAAACAGAAACAGATTCCATCAGAAGCCTTGAGCAAGAAATGGGTTGAAAATGGACTAACGGAGGGAGGGTGGGAGGAAGGGAGGGCAGGGGGGCGGGAAGGGTGTGTATGATAGTCAAGGAGGGAGAACCTGAGTGGCAATATCTGCTTAGCTTGGTGTCTCTTTGGAAATCACTCACCAAGAGGGTATTATCACCAGCAGGTGACTCTGAGTGCCTGGTGTCCCCCCGATCCACCAGCTTCACGGAGGAAGCCTTCCTCCCAATGCAAGCTGGCTGAAGGCAAAAGGAGTGGGGAAAGTGGAACACAGTGCTGGGAGCTTGAGAGGCTGATCACGCACTGCCAATTTCATGGACAAATGAGCCCAGGGTGTCAGCCTCTCATCCTAGAGAATCTGGCCAGCCAGTGGTCACCCTGGCCTGTGTTTTTCAAATGCCCATTATCACAGATGCCCCTAAAAGCTGGTCTAGGGGGACACAGAAACTAGAAAAGGTGAAATAACATTCTAAGAATTAAAGAGAAGGTAAAGCACAATTTAGAAAAATACAGCTCCTAGGTGGGAGCACATGCAGTCCCAGCTGAAGACCTTTACCCTGGAGGCTTGACCCTGGCTCTTCTCCCACTTTGTCCTGTGAGTCCTGAGCTCAACCTGGTGTGATGCCCCCACAGGGTTTGATCTTCTCACTCTGCCAGCAGGGCTGCAGTATGCGGGTTTCCTGGGCTGCCCTGAGGGACTGATAGCTCCCCTAGTGCCTTTGGTGTAAAATGCTTTCCAGTGTGGTGCTAGGAGCCTGCCTGCAGTCTAGGGGACAGATAGGCCCCCCACTGTGGTTAGCACCCTGGACATGAGGCGGGGCCTGATTATGGGTGTGGAAATAAAAAAGCCTCAGAGAAAATGCTGGAGGCATCCATAATTTATGAGTTTACAAGTCTCAGGTAACACAGTGCTTCGAAAAATATTCTTTTCTTCTAGGGGCATGGGAAATAAGTAGTGTCTGGTGATATGATTGCTAACTTTTTTCAGTAAATTCTTTTCCTTTAAAAGGAGAAATTTAGAAGCCACATAGACATTGGTTTAGAGAGAAAAGTCCATAGTTGGCAATCATATGCATTTTTTTGATAACCACTAACTAGCAGTGGTTTAATATGTTGCTTTAATGTGTTCATCTCTAATGCTACAGTGTTGTCACCAATAAATACATACTTAAAGGTGGTGGGTGGAAGATACTCAGGAAGTAGAGCATAGACTCTGTCTTCAAGTTGTTAGAATTGCATGATGTGGGGCAGGGAACTCTAAGTTCTGTACAACCACACCTTGTTTTATGCAATAGATATTTCAAGTTGCATAGTTTCCTCATATTTTAATGCTCTTAGAAAACTGGAGAATCTTAGTAACTGCAAAATGTCCAACATGAGTTATTCTGTTGTTACCTCTTTTATTTAAAAAATTTAAATTAGTTTTTTTTAATTGGAAAGGAAATTCCTGAATGTCCTGAAATAATTGAGACAGAAGCTCTCCCTAGAGCCTCCGCACAGATCCCTTTCTGGTGGCTGTCCAGTGACTGTAAATAGTCAAGCTGTGCTTGTCCTGGACCAGCACAGGAGAAAGATAGCCACTCCGTACTGTCAGGTCTCACCTTGCGCTGCTCCTGATCAGTTCTTGCCGTCTTTCTGCAGTGTCTTCAGCAGTTCTGTGGGTGACAGTAGAAACAGCATCACTTTGAGGATGGGACAGAAGAATTAGAATTGGCCTAGCCAGTGCTAAAAATCTATTGCCATCACTATTGTGTATTTATTATATATGTTGTTGTTTATCACATTTAGCCATTGTACATCTGCACTGTTATTAACCAATTAAGCTTAAACCATGCGTGTATATTTTCCTGACTTGCTCTGACAACCACAGCTGGAACAAGAATCCCCCACATGACCTAGAGATAAATTCCTGGGCATAGTACCTGACCGGTTTTGGTAGATGGCAAGTGGTCCTGTGGTAATTTTGAAGCTTTTGCCACACGGTGGGCCAAGCAAGAGTTCCTACTGCTTCTCTTTCCAGAGAGATGTATGGACCCTGGTATCCTATTTCAGTTTACCTTTGTTTGATCAACACTGCAAGTCTGAGTCTTTTCAGATTTTGTAGCCGTTAGAATTTATTTGTATTCAAACTCTTTGTGTCCTTCAGCTGTCTTTTTCTCACTAAGAAGCAGAATCTTTTATTCATATCCTGGGATGAAATCTTTGTCATCATAGAAAATTTACTTTTTCAAGAAGCATAAGGTAGGATTTTCACTTTGCTTTTCCCCCCAAATAACTAGCCTGCCCATCATTCCTGGAGTTATCATTCATTTACCATTAACTTCAGAAACTGCCTTGTCTATAGTTTGTTTCTATACCTATGGGGTCAGTATGCATCCTATTGATCACTCTGTCTACCTGCTAACAGGAATAGACATTTCTCCAAAGCACATTTTCTGTCCGCTTGTATGTTGTTGAGACCTGTTCTGTCCTGTGTTCATGAGGGATAGATATGAGTGTAGATTTGTTTCCTTATGATGTCCTTGTCTGGTGTTTTCTGTCTGGGTGACCCCACCTCATAGAAAGAGTTGTAAAGTATTCTCCTTTCAGAAGAGCCCAGGAAGGATCACCATTAATTCTTTTCTAAGTGTTAGGTAGAATTTACCAGAGAAGGCTTTTCTTTCTAGGAAGTTTTTTGATTACTAATTCCATCTCTTATTATAGACCTATTTTGATTTTCTCTTCTTCTTGAATCAGTTTCAGTACGTTTGTTTCTGTAGAACTGTGGTCCTGTAGGTGATCTAAT